GCAGGGACACAGGTGGGCAAGTCTCTAGGGAAGACCATTCAAGCTTGTCCTTGAAAGCTGTGTGAAGGGAGTTGGATTCTTTCCCAAGTGTCAAAGGAATTGAAGCCAGTGGGTAGGAGGGTGAGGTGAGGATGATTAGATGTGTAGAATATGGAAAACCTGGATCCACTGCTCTGTGGAGAATTAGGGAGTCCAGAGCTCTGGAGTCACTAAGAAAAAGAAAAGGGTGGAAGCATGGATAGAGAAGCAGAGATCTTGAGATGGGGAGATATGATGGGGATGGTTGCGCTGGTGATCACCTGAGCCCTTGGGAACAAAAATGAGGTCTCAGGATTTTAATACTGGTCTGAGTGGGCATCATAATGGGAAGGCAAGGTCTGGGTGAGCCCTCACTGTAGGGTGACTCCTGTTGGCACTGAACCCCACTCTTGAACCCTGGCTTGATATTTAAGAGCTGGATGATTTGGGGCTGAGGTTCTCCCCAGGCCAGTGGCTGGATCTAGGACCAGAGGCCAGGCTGAGGCTGAGGACAGGAGCAGAGGACTTCTCCCTGTCTCTTTTTTGCCTCATACCCCTGCCTTTCCTTCTCCTGCCTCACACAGCCAGGGAAGAAGAAAGGAAGGAGAATCCGAAGCATGCTGGATCAACGAAGGCACAGGGAATGTCCCCGTATCTGCAGGGCAGGGACATTCCTGGTAGCTCAACACTGAGCTGCAGGGAGTCACTGCTTCTGCCAGGAACTGGAACTGTGGGCATACCTGGTACCCCTGCGACTCACTCAAGACAGAGACGGCATGTTTCCTACTCAGAGCTCTGGACTTGGAAGCTCTAATCCATCACTCCTACCTGCGGGGCTTGGGAGAAGTCTCTTGGTTTCTCTGAGCTTCGTTCTTTGTGTTAAGTAGGGATAAGTCTATCTACATGAGCAGGAGGACTACATGAGCAGATCTGCTTAACACTCTTGGTCCACTGCTAGAGGTCTCTTTCAGCTCAGCAGCCTTCCCACCCTCTGCCTACCATCTCTGTGAAACAGTCCTAAGAAGAACTGCTATCTCATGGGGTTGGTGAGAATTCAATGTGAAAGAGAATGCTACATGGCTTTACGTGCCTCTGCATGGTGGGCATGACTCTTATCATCAGATACCCCTGTAGTATGAAGGCAGTGCTGCCCAGCGGTTATCTAATGAGTGCTGGTCAACAGAGCACGTAGGCTACATATGCACATTTTCCAGCTGTACAGCAAAATAAAGCAGAAAGAAGCACACGTGGTCATCTTAATAATACATCTCCACCTCAGCTGTGTGTGTTGGGGATGGGGAGCGGTCCCCAGCCTACAGCAAGGGACTCTGGCTCCCTGTTGGGGGACACCTGAATCCTAGATTGAATAAAGGCTACCAGGACCCAAAAGCACTGGCTTTTGAAAGCACTGGCTTGCAGTTTGAGGGCCTTTGTGTGGGGCAGGAGAATAAGGGAGGCTGTTTGGGGAAGACAGAACAACCTTCTGCCTCTTCTTGGAAGTCACAGACCTCAGGGTGGGAGCCCCCAAGACAGCGAGGGAGTTCCCAGCTCATGCATCCAGCATGCTGTGACTCCCAAAACACACACACACACACACACACACACACACACACACACACACACACACACTCAACAACACATTCATGCATGCGCAGAGGTCCCTCCTGGTTCGCTAAACACCAACAAACCTCTGAGACAATGCGGCTGGATGTGAATGCCAGAAGCACCACTCCCCGGGGCTAGGGCGTGCTGCCCGGTCTTGCCCAGTTACCCCATAGGCTGATGTTGGCAGGTGGGGGCAGGGCAGCCAGCCTTGCACTGCTGCCTCCTCCTCCACCCTCCGGCCGGGCACCTGAAAGCTGTGTGGTTCAGCTGGCAGTCCTCCTTCATCTTTAGCTAAAGAATCCTTCCTGAAGTCTCACACCTGGGAAGGTATCCCAGCTTCCCAGTGGGTAGGGTGGGGCTTTCACTTCCCAGTGAAAACTTTACAAAGGAGCTTGGACAGCTAAAGGCAGGGCTAGAGGCAGCCTGCTGTTCCATAGAGCCGGGCACTTTCCTTCTACAAGGCCTGATTTTCTTAACTCCCTCCCCACTCCTGCCCCCAGCTCTGCTCCTTCAAGACTGTCTCTACCTTTCTTGCCGCGTCCCCAATCTTGCCTGCTTCATAAGCATGGGGAGCAGCCTCCAGATGCTGCTATGTGGCCAAGGATAGGCACACAGACCAGGAGCCCAGAGAGGCAGTGGAAGGGAGGAATCGTGGTGCCTGGGACTCCGTGCCAGGCTGGGGGTGAGGATGGGGATTCAACTACCCCGTGGGGTTGGATGCTGCTGTCTTCACTGGGGCAGTATGCGTGCCTGTGCCATCGGCTCTTTCCAACTTCTTTCTGGAGGGGGTAATGGGGAAGTGGGAAGGGGAGGGAGTAGCAGGCTGGGAGAGCTGCGAAGGAGCAAATTTTGTCGGAGGAGAACTTAGGGATGGACAGAGATATCTCAGTGTAAAGTGTGCCAGGAGGGAGTGACTACAGTGGAGGCAAAGGCTCAGGGACAAAGAGGAGGCAGGCTGCCCAGACAAAGCCTTGGGCTGTGGAGCCCCTGGGACCGCAGCTGAAGGTGACTAGCAGAAAGCAAGTTTTGGAACTGCCCAAGGGCCTCGATGGACAGCACTCTAGAAACTTGTGTCTCAGTTTCAGGATGAGGGCTCAGCCGGCCTTAAGGGACACGCCTGGGGGAGATGAGAAGAGGGGCACACAGCCGGCCTGCTAACTTTTATCTGGGCGCAGAGGAGCGCTGGCATGCCAGGTACCGTGACCGGCAGAGAAGGGGCTGCCAGCTCAGTGATACCCAAAAGGGAACAGTGTGTTCGTCCAGCCGCACCCCTGAGGCCTGAGCCAAAGCTTGCACAGATCCAAGGGGACAAGGTCAAGGTGACTTGGAAATGGTCCCCTACAGAGCCGCGGTCCAAACGTGCGAACCCCACAGGGGACTCTTACAGGGCCAACGTGAATTCCTACGCCTCCAGCCTCAGGCAGGCGCTGGCGGTGCAGCTGTCCGCGCCGCGGGTCTCTCCACTCCCGACCCACACTTCCGCTGCGGGCGACGCGCTTCTCGAAGAGGGTTGAAGACGGATTTTCCCCACATTACAATAGTCTATCGAGTGGTTGGAGTTTTGGTTAGAGCGCATTCATTTCATTAAATTTTTGCTTGCCGGGAGCGATGCGAACCCAAGCGTCTCCGAGGGCGCGAGAGAACAGAGGGTGTTCAGATTAACAGGAGGCAAATATTTTATCTTTTAACAGGGGAAAAAAATCTGGCGACCTCCCTATCGTTGTGGGCCAACTTGACCTCTTTGCGCCCGCGTGGGTTGTGCTGATCCGGTGCAGCGAGCAGTCGGGACACACTCACCCAGCGCACGCTTCGCTGGTCTTTCTCTGCTCCCCATCCGGAAAAGCAAAAGGCGACGCGGGAGGCGGGTCAGGGCTCCGGGTCCAGCGAATTCGCCACGTAGGCGGTTTCGGTGTCCCCGCAAGTACCTGGGAAAGAATCCGATGTTTCTGGTCATTTTGGCCTCGGCGCAAGGTGGGTGTACATCACGAGAGAGCTCCGTCTGGACGCCTCGCGCTCTGCGCTCCTGTCGCCCAGTCTGCGCTCCAGTGAGGCTTCATACCAGACAGTCCTGAGCCCTCTTGCCCCGCGGCGTTTCTACTTTCCGCCACCCGTCTTTCCCAGTTCAGCACCTGCTCACACTGGGAGCAGCCGACGGGCACCCGGGAAGGCTCTGGCAAGGAATTTCAGTGGTAGCGACCCGGCGGGATTCGTGGCTGAGTCCGAAGACGGGACCACAGCACTTGTGTGTGCCTCGAAGAAGAACCTGTTTTAGGCTCTGGTGCACTTACAATCTGTATTCTGGACTGGCTGGATTAGGCCTGATTTGAAGACCTGTCCGGGTCGTGGCGCGGTCCGAACCTCGGGCATTGGGCAGGGCGCTTCGCGTCGCTTTTGCGCACAGTAGCCACTTGGGGTCGCACTTTATGTCTGTATGAGCTGTAGGTGGCGGGCCGACGCGGTGAACTGCTTAATGGTTACAAAACGTTCAAACAAAAACAGGGCTCCGCTCCCCCAGAATCCGAGAGCTTCTGGAGTCCCGTCCCGGGCTGGCCTCAGCCCCAGTCTTGGATCGCTCGGGCTTGCGTGCATCTGGCTGGGAGGAAGGGATTCAGGGCCTTTGAGCCGATTCTTCACTCGGTGCTTTCTTAGCATTTGAGGGTGGGGTGCGCGCGGAGAGCGGCGGGACCAATGGAGTCGGGGCTCGACCACCGTGCAAAAAATGGACGGCCCCCTCTTAGTCTCAGAAAGATCCCAAGAGGCGAAGAGTTGGGTCTACACGCAACTCTCAGATCCTCAACCCTGTTCCCCAGCAGGCAAAATCGCGCAGACCTCCTGAAACCCAGGCGCGCACGTCACACATTCGCTCGGCCCAGCAGCTGCGAGGACACGGAGCGTCGCCCACTGGGCGGGGGCCGTTGGGGAACAAAGGGCCCGGGAGGCGTCATCCCGGCGCTCTTTGAGAGCCTCCTCGGGGATGACATGGGCTGGGGGGTGGGGGTAGGGGCAAAGGATACTTATGGAGGAGATCGCGCGAGAGAGTGGAAGAGCTGCTTTGGCCAGGAGCTTGGGTGCACGCTCGGAAGACTACCGTACGGGGGTGGCCGGATCTGGAGGGTGAGGGGGGTTTGGACCGGGCGAGTAGTCCCCACTCGGATCCAGCCCTCCGCCAGGCCTCGCGGGCTCCAGGGCTGCTCTGGCCGCCAGTCAGCTGACGCGGGGGGCGGGGGAGCTGTCAGGCGCGCCCCGCCCAGCGCGGGCCGCGGGGGCCGTGCAGCCATTGGCCGACGCGCCGGGCCGCCCGGGCCGCAGCGCCCCAGTGACTCAGGAAGGCGATAAAAGGCGGCGACGGCGGCGGATTCGGCACAGCTGCACAGCCAGGCTGCCAGCGGCTGCAAGCGAGAGGACCCCAGAGCCAGAGAGCTAGGGAACGAGTGGCGGGCGCTCGCCCCGCGCCTCCCTTCCGCCCCACTCGCGCGCTCCGTTTGTCTCTTCACCCTGAGCGAGTGGCTCGGCTTGGTCCCAGCGCAGCCACAGCCTCGATCTCTGGGGGCAGCACAGGCAGCTTCGGGACTCTCCGGCGCGCCGCCGCGTCCCCAGACAAAGGCTTGGCCAGCGGCCCCAGCCCGCTGCGCCCTCGGCTCCCGGCCTCTCCGGCTCACGGCTCCTCGCCCCCGCGCTTGGCTCGGCGCGCCCCGGCCGGTGGCAAAGTTTCCCGGGCGGCAGCGGCGACTGCGCCTCGCGTCGGCGATGGCCGCGGAGCTGAGCATGGGGCCAGAGCTGCCCACCAGCCCGCTGGCCATGGAGTACGTCAATGACTTCGACCTACTCAAGTTCGACGTGAAGAAGGAGCCGCTGGGGCGCGCAGAGCGTCCTGGCCGGCCCTGCACGCGCCTGCAGCCCGCCGGCTCGGTGTCGTCCACGCCACTCAGTACGCCGTGCAGCTCGGTGCCCTCGTCACCCAGTTTCAGCCCCACCGAGCAGAAAACCCACCTCGAGGACCTGTACTGGATGGCGAGCAACTACCAGCAGATGAACCCCGAGGCGCTCAACCTGACACCCGAGGACGCGGTGGAGGCGCTCATCGGCTCGCACCCTGTGCCACAGCCGCTGCAGAGCTTCGAGGGATTCCGCGGCGCGCACCACCACCACCATCACCACCACCCTCACCCGCACCATGCGTACCCCGGCGCCGGCGTGGCCCACGACGACCTAGGTCCGCACCCGCACCCGCACCACCACCACCATCATCAAGCGTCGCCACCGCCGTCCAGCTCCGCCAGCCCCGCGCAACAGCTGCCCACCAGCCACCCCGGGCCCGGGCCACACGCGACGACCGCAGCGACGGCGGCGGGAGGCAACGGCAGTGTGGAGGACCGCTTCTCCGACGACCAGCTCGTGTCCATGTCCGTGCGCGAGCTGAACCGCCACCTGCGGGGCTTCACCAAGGACGAGGTGATCCGCCTGAAGCAGAAGCGGCGGACCCTGAAGAACCGGGGCTACGCCCAGTCGTGCAGGTATAAACGCGTCCAGCAGAAACACCACCTGGAGAATGAGAAGACGCAGCTCATTCAGCAGGTGGAGCAGCTTAAGCAGGAGGTGTCCCGGCTGGCCCGCGAGAGAGACGCCTACAAGGTCAAGTGCGAGAAACTCGCCAACTCCGGCTTCAGGGAGGCGGGCTCCACCAGCGACAGCCCCTCCTCTCCCGAGTTCTTTCTGTGAGTCGTGGCCAGTCCCGGCCCCCTGCCCTTGCCCTGGCCCGGACTCCCCGTACCGTGTCCCTAGCCCTGGACTCCCCCGGACCCTGTCCCTGCCACGGCCCCAGCCTTGACCTGATTGACTTGTGCGAGAGGGCGGAAGGGCGCGCGGGCCGCGGGCCAAGGGCGGGAGCGCGGGCGGGCGGGCAGGGTACCTTGGTGAAGGCGGGAGTAGCACACGCCAGTGCCGTCTACTAGACTCAAACAGATCCAGAGAGAGACAAGGGGGTGGGAGATCCTGGAGAAACTTTCCTCCAGTCTGGAGGACCGCAAGACTTGCCGGGAGGAGTCGTCAAGGCCGCTCAGAGACTCCAGGCATTCTGAACTTTGCGGGTAAAGCCGGGGCCTCCGCTTGGCTGGCTGTCCGGAGCGCAGTCTGCCCCTGGAGATGAACCAGGAGGAGAGGAAAGGGCCCCGGACGTCCCAGCAGGCGCGGGACGAGACTGAGCGAAGGCAAGGAGGACGGATGGACCTGTCTGTCCAGAGAACTCTAGCTCTCAGCCCTCAGACGCCGGCTACGGTTAGGACATTCGGCGCGCCGATCTCATCAGTTTTATTGCCTGCTTGATTCTATAGAAAAAAAATACGAAAATCTGCATTAAAAATATTAATCCTGCATGCTGGACATGTATGGTAATAATTTCTATTTTGTACCATTTTTCTTGTTTAACTTTAGCATGTTGTTGATCATGGATCATGACCCGCTTGTTTTTTTGGGGTGAGAAGGGATGGCAGTTGGGAAACTCTGGGGCTGCGAGTCGGGTTCCAGTCCGGGCTGCCTGCTTGTAAATACCCACCAAATGGGGCACGCAGAGAACGGTGGCAGCAAGCTGGGTGTCTTTGTTTGGGTTTATGATAATAGCGTTTTATTATCTGTAAGAAAAAACAGAGAGAAGAAAGTTTCTGGCGTTTTGCATCACAGCTTTGTTTTGGGGCACCCTTGGAAGTTGCATGCTGTCTTCCCTTCCCCAGCGCCCTTTTGCTCCTTTTCCTCTTTCTGCTTCCGTTTTCAATGTTTTTGGTGTTGAGAGAAAAAGAAGAGAGGTCTGAGCTCCAGAGTGCCAAGGCAGCTGCGCACTTCCGGGCGGCTTCCGCACGCTCACTCCTCACCTGTCTGAAGGTCAAGTGGACAAGGTCCCTGATGAGAAAGGAAAGGACTGGACCATGGGTCTTCTCCACCTGTCTTTATGATAAGCAGAAGCATCCCCCAAAGTCCCTATGGTAACCTCCAGGCCTGCACTGTTCACAGAGCGGCTCCCTCCACATGGACCAATAATACCCAAAGCTTGTGATGAACCAACCGCCCCACTGTACCAGAAACCCAAACATTGCAAGTAAGTTTGCAGCTTTCAAGTGCGATCTTCAGACCAACAACCTTCCGTGTTTTTTCTCTGCCTTTGTGAGAGCAGGGAGGATTACTGGTGGTGCCCCTCCCCCCTTCGGTTGTATAGTAGCTATAGAGAAGATCTGGGTGTTTTTCTTTATTATTCCTTTTTTTCCCCCCTGCAGGTCAGTAAAAAGAGTTAAATTGCACTGACAAAAAATACCAAAATGAAAGTGTATTTTTAAGTTCCCATTTGAAATTGCTGGCGCCGCCGGCCAGATGCATTTTTGAGTTTGTATTAGTTGATAAATTAACAGTAATAACAAGATTGTATGACCCGCATGGTGCTTGCAGTTTTAAATATTGTGGATATTTGTCCTGCATCAGAAATGAGCTTTGGTTTTTACAGATTCAACTGTGTTGAAATCAAATTTACTGCAACAGAAATTGTTTTTATTTCATGTAAAATAAGGGATCAGTTTCAAACCCTGCTTATGATATGACAAATATTAAAACCTAGCCTATTGTAGTTTTATTCAGACTGGTTTCTGTTTTTTGGTTATTAAAATGTTTTCCTATTTTGCTTATTAAAACCATGGAAATGGTGTTTATTTAGAACACTCTGCGTTCGCCTGAGATGTTTCTTCAAGAGCTATGCCGACCTGGGAGACTCTCACGTCCCTGGCCAATGGAAAAGCCAACCTAGCACAGACAGATCTTTCCTTGGAGTGTGAGTGTATGTGTGCAAGTGTACAGGTGCCTCAAATGTGTTCTCTGCTTCCACCCTAGGTGCAGGTCCCGATCGAGAGCCTCCTGGTGAGCTGAAAGGCTGCGCCATCTGAGGTTGACACCACTTAGTGGGAATTTTCAGGCGTGGCTGCTGGGACTGGCCTGCAGTTCTGCCGCCTTGAGGGAGAAGCAGGGTCCTTGTGGTGCTCAGTCCCAGCTAGGTCGTTGCCCTTCTGCCTGGGACTTTCACCAGTCCAGGAGCATCTGTCTGGGAGCAGCCAAGATCATGTCTCTGAATGGAGATCCATCATCCTTCCTCCAGGGCTGATGCCAGCAGGGGTAGCCCAGCACCAGCTCATGGATGCAGTGTTCCCCAGACAGGAAGCTCCTGGTGCAGACTCTTAGGAGACTCTTATAGAGACAAAGAGAGGTATTGAGAGGCCTTCTTTCCATCTGTTGATTCACTCCCCAAATGGCCACGATGGCTAGGGCTGGGAGCTAAAGCCAGGAGCTTCATCTGGGTGGCAGGAACCCAAACATTTGAGCTGTCTTCAACTGCTTTCCCAGGCGCACCAACAGGACACTGATCTGTGCTGGAAGTGAAGCAGCTGGGACTTGAAGTGGTACCCATATGGATGCAGGTGTTGCAGGCGGTGGCTTAACCCACTTGGCAAAAATGCCTCCCTCACCCTACCTTGGGTGTGCACTGGTGTCTCAGGCTCGGAGCGCTCAGCCACAGAAAGGGACCTTGCATAGTCGGGGCTGGATTTCAGAAGCTCCTCAAATTCAAGCAAGGTCTAGGTCATTGTTCTGTGAAGCTGTTTGACTGCAGCCCGGGACTGTCCCTGACGGGGAGGTAGCCCTAGAGCCTTTCCTTTTCCTTGCTCTTGAAAGTGCTTCTTTGAAACCCCATCTATAACTGGGGGTTAGCCTTGCACGCCTCTGAGAGGTGACATAGGAACCCAGGACCCCAGACCCCTGCTTCGAGGGGCTTCCCGTCTCCGACTCCTCATTGCAATCCTGCAGGCTCAGGCTTACATCCTTGTGGTTCCCTGGTTCAGAGTTCCTAAGAGGCGGCTCGGCTCCAGAGCCAGAAGCCAGTAGGGTGGGGGGTGGGACTGGAGCCTGGAGTCCTGCAGGCTTGAGGTGTTGATGGGGATTTGGGGAGGGAAGAAGAGGAGGGACCTACAGAGTAAAGAGACTGCAGAACAGTAGCAGGAATTGGCACTTTCATAGAGCTTTGATGTTGTTCACTAGGGGAGAAATTTAGGATTGTAGTTGGAATTTTGTTCCCAAGCTCCCGTTCACTTCACTGACTGAACGGTGGGGCTGGCAGGGACTGGCTTTGGCTGAGAGCCAGGAGGAGGTGGCTGAGCTCAGCTGAGGGTAACTTTGTCCATGCCTGTGTGTGCTGATGAAGGAGCAAGTGGGATGTGATTGGCAGGTAGGTGCAGAGTACAGAGCCACATGAACCAACACGGCCCCTTCGAGGTGAAAGAGTCCTTGGGCAAGTGGGATGCTGGAAGAACTCCTGCCTGTGATGCGGATCCAAGCAGACTAGTACCGGCCAAGGACCTTCACCCCCAGCTGGGCTGGCTCCTATTGGAATCCTCCCAGGGTGACTGCCACTCTCCACCTGAGGAGTAAAGCCTTCCGAGGGTTGCCCCCTCATTGGCTCATCTTCCTTCCTTAGTGCACAAGACACTCATACCAATCATGGCCAGCCCTGTCCCGTCTGTGGAGTGACAAGGTGGCTCAGGACGGTCCCTAGAGACCAACTGCATCTTGCAGAGGAATGCTGATCCCAGGATATGGCCCTAGTGATGCCGACTCACAGATACATCCTCGCGCGATGCCCTCGCAGTCCCTGTACCAACCTTCCCGTCGGGTACTAACCCGCTCCGGGCGCAAGGGTGAGCGCAAGGGCTAGAGCCAGAAGCTCCTCAGGGGCGCCTTCCAGGTGGGGACGAACAGCGCGTACAGCGGGCAAGCTCCGGCCGTGTCCCTGCCTGCAGCCTGCGATTCTGATCCACCGACGCCCAGACGCAGCGCCTACAGTCCAGGAAAAGTGAGCAAGACGCCGGGACTCTCCGGCTGGTCCCACTCTCTGCTTCTCGGTGTTCATCTCTCCCGCGACTCGCGGGCTCCACGGACTCATCCACGTCCCCAAGGGGAAAATGCTTTCAGCGCCAGGAGTCTTCTGCGCCAGCACGGTTCCCACGTAGACAGGCTGGCGCCTGCACCCGGAGACACACGCGGAGACTGACACGCACAGACAGCGGGACGCACGCAGGGGGCGCAGACCGGCCCTGGGCATGTGGCTCCATTGCCCACGTCTCAGACTGGGGCGGCGACGACTTGTCCCGTGTGAAGCTTTCTTCTTGAGACCCCCAATATCTGGGGTGTGCCGGAGCTGGTTCTGCAGCTGCCGGAGAGGCAGGTTCAGGAATGCGCTCAGCGCGCCTTCCCGGGAGCCTGGGTGCTTTGGAGCACTGGACCAATGAAGGTGGTCTAGCTTTTTCTTCTTTCCCCTTTCTCTTTTCTTCCTTATTTTTCCTATTCTTCCTTTCTTTCCCTTTCTTCTTTTCTCTCCTTTCCCTGTTTACTTTCTTTCTTTCTTTTTTACCCATCTCTTCTGCCCCTCGCTCTCGCCCAAACCCTCTTGCGATTTCTCCCTCCATCTCTCCTCTCCTCTCCTCGACATTTCCCATTCCTTTATTCCTTTCTTGGTACCCTCTATCATTTCAGAAACTTTTTCCTTCTGTTTCACGGTCTCTTCTGCCTTTTATCCCGGCGTTGCCCGGGGGAAGGTGGGAAGGGTAGGGCTCCTGGAGCCTGCGGGAGGTGAGAGGAGTGGAGAGGTTACGGTCTGGGTGACTCTAGGGTCCTGGGGGCTCTGCTGCCGGGGCCAGGAGCTTGCGGCGCTCACCCCTGCAGCTCTGCTTGGCTGGGGACTGCCAAGGAACGGAGTCCAGCTGGTGGATGGTGGACAGTGAGCAGCAAACGGGGCGGTAGAACTCTGGAAAGGAAGCGCTGAGCAAAAGGAAGCTGGAACAGTCCCATTCTGGTTTCCCTCGGTCCCTGTCTCTGACATTCTTGCGGCAGACCAACACCTTCACCCTATCCAGGACTGTTAGAGGACCCTCCGCTCCCACCTAGGTCCCCAACTCCCCTCCCCCGCTCGCGCCTGCCCGGGGTGCCTCTCCTAACTGCCCTCCTGATGGCAGCTGCCGGGAACCCTTCGGAGCGCCAGTGGGGTCACTCAGGCCCCTTCGGTGACCCCAGTCGCAGCTCCAGCCACATCAGGCGAATCTCCAGCCCCCTCACACTCCGTCCCCGCTCCCCAGGCTCTTCCTTTCTCTGGCCCAGAAGAGCGGCCGCCGGGAGTTTCTAAAAGACTTGCTTGCCGGCTTTCAGAAGCAAAAACCCCCATTCCAAGTACTTCAGCTTAGTGTTGGGAAGGAAAACTCAGAACCGGCTGGACTTGCGCAACCCTTCCCCGACAGCCTGGCCGTCTGGGGGGGGGGGTGCGTCCCAAAGACAGAGTTGTGTTTGGATTTATTATGCAAGGGGAGGGGGCGGGGATGGGATGTGCTTTGCACTCCCCCCTCCCCCGCCACCAAAATAAAAGTCCTGGAAGGGCTTTTGTATTCTGTAAGCGGTGTAGTTTTGAATTATTCTGTTTGGAAAAGCTGCTGCATACGGGTCCCCAGCCACGGTACCCTGGGCAGAGGGTCCAGCGAGGGTGAAGGGAGAGTGTAGTGACCCGGGGGTCCCTGGGAGGCAGAAAGCACCGCCCGCCGTGGGGACTTCCCAGGCTGGGGCTCTGCTGGCGCGGAAGCCTCGCGGTAGCAGCAGCTGCGGCTGCGATAGCCTTCTTTCTGCGGTCCTATCCAGGAAGCGGACTAGGCATCAAGGAGAGCGGCTCCTTTAGCTGGGAGCTCGCTGCTTCCAAGCCTGCCCGGGCTTTCCGCTCGCTGTACCAGGGAACTTCGGAAAGTTCATGGAGAATGGAATTAAGAGATCAGTGTATTTCCATGAAGAAAAACGTCAAAATGCACGTATACAAACGACAGAGTCTTAAAAAAGATCACGAAAATGAGTGTTAGAGAAACTGTTGCATGGATTTAGCATTTTCTTGGCACCAAAATATAAAGTTTTTAAAAAATAATTCTTCTGCCTTGCAATGACCAAAGTCATGAGCAAAAAAAAATTTTTTTTTAAATCTGTTTATTTTCATTTCACTTGAAAGGCAGAGAGACTATAGAGATAAAGAATTTTCCATCCATCGGATCACTGTCCAGATGCCTGCAACAACCAGAGCTGGTCCAGGCAAAGCCAGGATTTTCATTTGGATCTTGCCAGCCCCGTGGGCAACAGGGACCCAAGTACTTCCAACCTGTGCATTAGCAGGAAGCTGGAGTTGGAAATACAGTCAAAACAAATGGGATCTGAGTGTTCAGGCTAAGGTTTTAATCATTACATCCCATCCAATAAACTTATTTTGGTAAATCTATTGTCCATGCACTTTGTGAAGTCCCCTCTTTGTTCAAACCCCTTTAGCATGTCCTCCATAGATTTTCCAGGCCTTACCCATCTTAGTCTTCTGAATACCCTTCTCCTCATCTTGCATATAGTATCTTTCAAGAGGCATTGAGTAAAGAAAGTCAGAGCTAATTGCTGTCCCTTGGAAGTGGTTAGATATGTAAGTTGCTGCTCCAATGTGGAAAAGCAAAGCTCGGGTTCAGTTTCCCCTCTGTATCCTTGGCATCTGAGGTTAATGACCATCCACGGAAACAGCAGTTGATCAGGATCGTGACACATTCTTGTTTATCTACACTTAGGGCCAAAGGGAAAGCCGTAG